AGGGTTTCTCTCCAGTATGTGATCTTTTATGCCTTTGAAGAGTACTGTGCTGAGAAAAGGCTTTACTACATTCATTACATTCGTAGGTTTTCTCCCCTTCTTTGATGTATAAGAAGATAACTGTGATATGCAAAGGCTTTACCACATTGGTTACATTCATATTTCTCTCCAGTGTGTTTCCTTTCATGACTTTGGAGATAACTGTTATTTTCAAAGGCTTCATCACATTGTGTGTATTCTCTCCAGTTTGCCTTCTTTCATGCCTGCCAGGAAAAGGGTCATATGTAAATGCTTTACCATATTCAATGCAATGTCAAATCTTGTTACTTGTATAAATTAATATTACAATTTATTTTAGTTGTAAAGAAGAATCAGATATAGTTTTATCACTGTGCTTACATTCTTCTTTTCCCCTACTTTAAGGGTTGCATGTATCTTTGAATATAGCTGTGAATATATAAGCCTTTATTACATGGTTCTCATTTTCAGAACCTTTTTCTACAGATGATTTTTCATTTAATGAGAACTAGAAAAATTCAGAAGTTTATCATCCTTTTTGTATTTTAATTTTCCTTCTCTGTGAGTCATAATATATTTGCTAATGAACTACAACAAAGAGAAGTATTTACACAGTCATAGAGTCATAGGGCTTTTCTACAGAGTGAGCTTGGTGTATTATCAATGAAGATGGAAAACAAATTACTGGTACACTTGAATCAAATTCAGCAAGTATGCTCAAACTGGGGACTACTACACCACTTTTAAGTATCCTGCAAGAGAGGTATATCATGTTCTACCTATCTCTTTGCTGAAATCGCTTGTATCCTGACTAGTACATGATATTCTTAATAATGTAAAGATTAGAAAGAAGAGGCTTCCTCATTTAATTCAGTTTGACTTTCTGTTCCTTATAGATATATGTTATTGTGATTACACATTCCCTAAAATAACTGCCCCTCGAATTTTGACAATAATTGCTCCTGTCACAGCAAGTACATGAGTAAAACCAACTTTTCTAAGGAATATTTGCTTAATGGAAGTTATGGAGATATGACTATCAATTCAATCTTGTCTATATCTCTGGGAATAAAGGTAGTATGAAATAAGTGGATTTACGGTACTACAGCATAGCTCTCGTGGTGTAATGATTTAAGTGGCAGGTTCTCTCAATGCATTATTTCCTTATCTTCTTTCTTAAAATATTGCCTTGCAAATGCAGTTAAACTACCTGAAATTGATTGCTATGTTCTTGTGAGAATTTAATACTCATCAATGCAAATTATGCTGTGCTTAAATACACTGCTGTTTCTGTTTCAAACTTCAGGACACATTTCAATTTCTTCAGAGACACATTTCTGTGAGCTTGTAACTGAAAATTACCTGTCATGTCTTTTTGAACTTGCACAATGTTCTTCAATAATATTGTCTTCCCAAGAGTATCCTAAAATATAGGGCAAGAAAATGTATAGAGTATCATTGAGAAATACTATATGCAAATGTGCAAAAAATATGTCACTGTCCTCAGTGAGCTTTGATTCATTTATTACATTCTTTTTCTTTCTCAATCAAATTAAAGAAGAGCACCAATAACCAAGGAACAGTTGTCCTATTATTTTAAAATGGGAAGGAAAATATACTCTTACCTATATCATTGAGGTTCTCATAGGTCTCCAGCATCACATCTTTGTAGAGATTCTTCTGAGAAGTATCCAGCAAAGTCCACTCTTCCCAAGTGAAATCAATATGCACATCATCATCGGTCATGGCATTCTAAAATATCACATACATGTGTGCAACTTAAAGCAAAATACTGACCTTAGTGTAAAAGTGTGTTTCTGTAGAACCTTATTTCAAAATGTGTTACTTTTATGCTAAAGAAAATTTGCTTAATGAAGTAACTATGTGTTGTTTTTTTTCTGATGTATTAGTTTAATTTTATGAAGCTGTTCTTCTTTGCCTGAATACTACAGCTGATATTCTGATGAAGAGGTATTTATCCAATAGTGAGTCAGGAGAAAGGATAGGCTGTGGCATCTGGAACAATATATACACAGGAGGATAAATCTGGAAGCAAGGAGGAAGGCTCAAGAAAAAGAAGAGTACAGGGCCAGCTACCCAGCCGCACAACATGTTATGAAGTAGGAAGAAAAGTAAGATATACATAAATGGAGAAAGGTAAAAGTCCTGAGGCGAAAGGTAGATTGGATCATTTAACTAGAGAAAAATTGCTAGAAATGAGCCAAGTAAAGGACATGCATTATATAACATGCAACTGTGTATCAATTTAGGACCTGGGGGGTTCCCTCCCCAAAAGGTATAAAGCTAAAGAGCTAAAGGATTAAACATTTAAGTAAATTTTACCTAACATGCTATATTTTAATGTAAGGCCTGAGAATGCTGAAAAATATTTCCTTAATGAATTTCTCCCTACTGTTTACCTTTGAACAGCCAGTACACTAAGTAGCAAAGATAACCTCAGTCACAATGATTGCCAGAGCACAATCATGTGAATGCTAGAACTCTAGGAAGGTTGTGTGTTGTTCTGCTCCATCTGTATATGACTATGCTGTGAGTGTTAGACTTTGCTCCCATGAAATCCTAAGAGGGCATTGACATCTGGGGAGAGCATGATGAAGATCCATGTGTGACTTAGCAATCTAAAGTTTGCTTTGGCAGTAAAAAGGCTAAAAGACAAACAGTTAAATAGCTGCAGATGTAAATGGAATTGAAAGAGGGATTGTTGAAATAAAGGAGTCTATATATTTTATGAATGCCTTAACTTTAAAACAGTAAAATATATTTGTCAAATCAAAACTGCTTTGGAGGAGCAATTCTGCTTTTGTTTCCACAGAAAACAAGAGGCTATGTATTTACTCCAGGTTGAGATAGATATTGTTATAGCAAGTGAGACCACTTGAAG